AGCCAAAGCTCTTCTTAAGTGATTCAAGGTTAGATGTGGTTAAAAAGAGTTGGAGTTACAGTGGTGTGACATTCTCTTCTTTCTCTTTGTTTCCAGAAATGGCAAGCACAACAGTTAATTGTTAAGAGTGGACGAGAGTCGTCTCCCGAGACTTTGTTTTGATCGCCAGCTATCTCTGGTCAATAACACAAATCACATCAAATTCAATTGAGCATGTCAGATTAGAGAGCCGGTTCTTGAATCAGGTGGTGAGTGGTGGAGAAATTCATCATATATCACTCTAAGACAGAAAAAGAATAACATCTTTTGATGCAGCCGGTTCACACTACACGAATTTTTACTCCAGTTTTGCGTCCCCTGATCTACCATCAAGCTATTTAAAATGCCAACAACTAAGTTAAGTAGTACCGTTGTGGGTCAAAAAGTCTTGCTTATCTTATTAGAAAATATATTAAAGACCCGCGCGTTTTTAAAAAATGAGCAAACATAAAACTATTATTTGTATCTGTCTATTTGAAATCACATGCTTTAGTTAGTTTACTAATTTGTTTTCATTAGTCTAATGAAAAATAAATAAATAATAATAATAATAAAACTCTAGCTACCACAGGGATGTTCACTTGTAAATTTAAACGTACGTGAAAAGTCCATAGTGTAGACATACCTTATTATCCAAAGATTTCCTAATATTTGATTGGATGCTTAGCGTATATGTGTTCAATGTGTCCACATTTTTTTCCAAAGAAGGAAGAAATTTTCTTCGGCATAAAAATTTTTGGTTTTAGGTGCGCGTTGTATAATGTTTAAGTATTTTAGGTATTTTATCAGTAGAATCTAATTGTTCCTTTAGTTGCATTATAATGGTCTATAACTTACCCTTCACCTGATAACGCATCTTCAAAATGTTCCGTAGACAGCGTAAAACAAGGGTTGCCTTCGTTTTCAAAGTAAGCCTGCATATTTATTGTGTAGGTATTCCTGGAATGGACTAAAGCCTGGATTTGAATTCCACATTTGTCTGATTCACATATTTGACGTTTCAATTAAGATTTTTAAATTTTCCATTTGGGAGGTGAAGGTGAAAATTAAATTTACTCGACGCTTTGGAAATTAACGAATAAAAAAATTCCAGTATCCTTTTTGCTTTCTGTTCGACTTTAATGATTTACGGCTTGGTGGATATTGGTTTTTAATTATGTTACCCGTTTATCTAGATTTTACCTCCTTTGTAAATCACCTAGATTTATGATAATGGATTTCTGATTAATTATGTTAGTTAGTTTGAAAAAGTTAGTGTTAAGGAAACACGTCACTCTGCTAATGAATATATGAAAATCTTAATAAACATTTTGTTTTCTAAAAAAGCTATTACCTACTTTTTAATACATATTTCGACCTAAAAAAGCGTCGGACGCCGCTGGTCGAAACGTCTTGTTTTCCATTCGCGTCGCTGAGTTAACACAATTATAGTAACCATGCGAACGCGGTCGTATCTATTTATCTCGGGTTCGTTTTAAAGCATGCGAAAAATCTCGTGAGGCGGTTTCCGATTGTGAGTTGGCATTTTTTATTCGCTTTCATGCGTCACGAGCGAGAACGCAACCGACTTGAAGAAAGAGGTCGCTGATCACGTTACGCAACGACATTGTTGTTGCTTTTATGGGCAACTTTACTGTCGGATGGATTGATAGATGCAACTAGACGACCAACGATCGCTTTCTTTAAATGACATACAAAAAACCGTTGTGCGCCAATAGGTTATTGGAATTAAGTCATAGTGAATGTCATAAAAGATGTAAAAATGACTAATTTCATATTGTGTGCGGAAACATAACTGCGTCTCGGGGAAATATATTGATGACAGGGTTAGAAGATTTACGACAGTATAATTCGATAGTCTGTTTTAATACGTTACTATACGATTTTCTCTATTACGATGTTTCCGAGTAAATAACGTGCTCGCGGAATTCGGACGAGACTGAGTTGCATAACGAATTAATTAGTTATACAGTATAAATAGTTAAGTGATAAAAAGAAAACTCAAGATAATATACGTGGCTGTTTTCAGTAAAGTTAGTTGATATAGGAAAACGCCAACATAGACGCAGTAGTAGCGGTAACAGATCAGATTCAGCCGACAACGATACCGGACGATACACAAGAATGCAACACAGGTCGAGATGCTCAGAGCAAAGTCCGAATGTCAAAAATGGCGACACAAATGTTAGTCTATATAATAATCACGGTAACGTGCCTTTTCCACAAAATTCGTTGACTGTTGAACAGGCTGCGCACGATTATAGCAGTGACTCAAGCTCTGAACTGTAAGGGCTTGGAGATGCAATATAAGGTTGAAAGAAAGATCAAAGGTTCTCCGTGTATAAGAAGTAAACATGATCCGTGTGACGATAAATTGGTAAATAAAATAATAATAATAATAGTTTTGTGTTATAGCATTGACGAAATTTTTCGTGAACTGAAAATGGATAGCATGGCCGACTGAAACATAACAGGATTAGAAGATTTACGACAGTATAATTCGACGGTGATGTCATCAAAGGGGCCGCAAAATGAAGGGGTTTGTTTACACAGGTGTGGCCCGTTGAGGTCACAACTTCAAAAATGATTGGGAAAAGCCATCAAGTGTTGGAAGAACGCAGGTTGAATGTGCAAGATTGATAGCTGAGACCTGTAGGATGTACAACCATTTGAGCATGGAAAAACTGTGTGCAAGATGGTGCCGTGTTTGCCAAAAACAAACTAATTTTTGAGTCAATTCATAACTGTTGATGAGACTTGAGTCTATTACTACACTTCTGAAAATAAGGAACTGTCAATACAGTGGGTTGCAAAAGGAGAACCAACTCCAAAGAAGGCTAAAACAATTTTATCGGCAAACAACAAAACTTATGGCTAAGAGTATCACTGATCAATACTACGTAGAGTTATTGAAACGTTTGAAGCACGAGGTGCAAATTAAACGACCCGATTTGGCGAAGACTGACTCTCGAGACTGAGCATCCAGCGACTATTACCTGTTTCCTGACCTCAAAAAATGGCTTGGCGGTAAAAGATCTACGTTTAAAACTGATATAATCAAATTAGAATATCGTTACGAGAAATTTATTAGTGTTGATGAAGATTATGTTGAAAAATAAAGCAAAAAATAAAATAAAAACATCGTTTTTCTTGGTCAGGTAGGAAACTTTCACACCAACCTCGTAAAATGGATGTGGACTATGGTTGTTGAATTAACTGGTCAATTTTGTTTGTGTCAATTGACCGAAATAATTTTTAAAATTCAATGAAATTTATATTTATTTCAGAAAGATCTTTTTTCCTAAACCAAATTCAAGTTTCTGAATCAACTTCAAGGGCTTTGCTTCGCCTTGACACAAGTTCCACACACTTAATTTACCAGAATGCTTTAAAACAAAACTATTTGGAGCAAATATCAACATTGCAGTGGGTTCACACTACACGAATTATTACTCAAGCGTTGCAATTACCAATTGTCAATGAATGTAAGAATTTCTGAAATTCTCCTATAAAAGTTGCGCTTACTTCATTAAACCTTATCATATCTGCTCCGTATGTAACACTAATCAATTTGAAACAAATTACCACCTTGCCCGATGTATAATGCTCTGCGTACCATGGAGCTTTTTGCAATAAAACCGCTTTAAAAAATTTGGACTCGCGTGGGTCAAAACGTCTGGCTTATCTTATTATAAATATATTAAAGTAAAAATAAAACTACAACTTTTAACTGTGTATTTGAAATCACATGTTCATTCATAGTTCCCTATTAGTTTACTAATTTTTTTTTGACTTATGTAATGTCTGATAAGGATTTCTTGTAGAAATATGAACAATACATAATAATAATAATAATTATATATATATATATATAGATATATATATATATATATATATATATATATATATATATATATATATATATATATATATATATATATATATATATATGATGACACTATATTCCGGGATATCATCCGTTCGCTCGTTGAACTCCGACTGGAATCCTGCATCCGACTGGAATCCTGCAGACGTTTCGCCAAAATCTCACTTGGCATCTTCAATGCTCGCGCTCCGAAAACACTTCGAACACTTCGAAGCAGGATTCCAGTCGGAGTTCAACGAGCGAACGGATGATATCCCGGAATATAGTGTCATCACATTTTTCCATCCGTGAATCAATACGTGAGAATATATATATATATATATATATATATATATATATATATATATATATATATATATATATATATATATATATATATATATATATATATATATATATATATATATATATATATATATATATATATATATATATATATATATATATATATATATATATGATGACACTATATTCCGGGATATCATCCGTTCGCTTGTTGAACTCCGACTGGAATCCTGTTGTGTTCGAAGTGTCAGTCGGAGTTCAACAAGCGAACGGATGATATCCCGGAATATAGTGTCATCACATTTTTGTAATGTAGTTTATAATATAAATATAAATAATAAATATATATATATATATATATATATATATATATATATATATATATATATATATATATATATATATATATATATATATATATATATATATATATATATATATATATATATATATATATATATATATATATATATATATAAATAATTAATTGATATAATTACTAAATAATGATAATAACACGCAAATGCCCGGCCCCAACACTAATCTGTCCAGGTACAGACTTGATATTTGTTGTTAGGAAATGAGATTTAAAAAAGAGATTTTTTGTAATTATTCTATAATACCAAGTAAAAAATAATTAAAAAAAAGGTATAGAGCATAAAAATACGTCTAAGCATATTAGAAACACAAATTTTAAAGCATAAGCACTGTATGTTTAAAACCCCAAAGCATAATGGGCGAATGTACTACGTTTAATTAGTGTATGTATGTATCATAAAAAAAAACCTACCTTTATCGGGTGATTCCGGGGAATTACCGGTTTCCGATATGCCAGATCTGCGTGACCTCGGCCTCTTGCTGACGGCGCCACTGGTCGAATTCGGCTGCTGTTGACAGGTGGTGACGGTATTGGCCAATCCCCGTATCACACGGTTCTGGAAAAACAAATGCATAGATCATGAGCTTTTAAGGAGCTTATTTTTACCGCGTATGATTCGTTACTTTTAGTGTTGCAGGAAATAGTGAAGTTTTTTTTATAAATTGAACTGAGGTGGCTTTTACTTGATGAAAATCCATTTATCAAAGTAAATAAGAACTAAAAGTTCACATTTTCACGAAATTATATATTTTTACATGACAATTGTTTCGACAACACCGTGTCTTTACCTAATGTGACATTGACATTTGATAAAGACACTGTGTTGTCGAAACAATTGTCATGTAAAAATATATAATTGCGTGACAATCTTACTTTTAGTTCTTATTTATTTTGAAGTTCTTTTATCCCAATAACTATTAACTTCTGTGGTCATTCAAGCTACCTTTTTTATCTACTACTCCAACGCTCTGTAAAGTTGAATATCGACAGTGTGCTTACAAGTCATTTTTGCAACGTATGGAAGTTAAAATTTATAGGCGGTACAAGTATTCTTACAATTTAGTATTAAATTATAATTACAGCAGTTCCATTAATGTTTCGTGATTGACTTATTGAGGCGGAACTTTATTTTTTGATTCGACAAGTGTTGGCTTTTTTCGGTTTTAGTGTAGAGAAAGTGGAATCTTTCCATTCAGAAACACGAACAAAAGTCCCAAAGACCAATCATACAGTTAGTTATTACCTTGACAACTAGAAAACTTTTCATAAAAAACATGGAATTTGCCTGCATAACCGAAAATTGAGCTCACTCGAAAGAGACCTATAAGGTGTTTTCGGGCATAATACGGCCAAAACCTATAATATTGTAAGGGACATTATTAACAGTAATTTGATTTTTCTAACAGCTTGGTCGTAAACTAGCAACTAGCAATGTGAGTGATCCCTTGATGCTGAATTTAATAATGCTAAAGCAGATTTGCGGTCAAGTCGGACGAAACTTTCAGACTGCCTTGACGAACACCAGACCCCAAACATCGAATCAAGAGAGTATCTTGTGGAGTGACGAAACTTTCTCTAAATGTGTGACCCGAAGAACACAAAAAAATGTACAAGGAAACGCGAGTGCATATTTAGTAGAAATAACAAAATAGAAAATGGTCAGATGATTGATTGTCTGCTTTTAGTAAATGTTAACTGTAATATTTAGAATATTTGTGACTGTGTGTTTTATGTTGTAGCTTTGCTACTTTGGGCGAAAGGCTCCGGTGCGTATGGTGCAATGTTTTAGGATTCGATTAGTTTCAGTGGTGGTGGTGTCGCAGCTTAGCAGAGGGAACTGTCGGCCCCGAAAAAGCTGTCACGTTTGTAGTAACTTAACCTGCAACTTCCGGCTCGGATTGCTGTCCATCGAACAGGTCCCGTAAACACTGTGGCACTAGTATATAATTTGCCAAACGAGCACTGCCTACCAGGGATAGTTGAATGAAATGTAAATAACAAAACAAGCAGAGTGAACTAGCCCACCAGGAGTTGGACTTGAGCAAGGTCGTACAAACCTTTTTTTTTTAAATATCGATTGGCCTATATGTGAAATTTATCGCGATCCTTGACCTAAATTTCAACAATACATATTTACAAGCAGAGCATTTAATGTACAGGGTAACTGATAACTAACTTATAGCAGATAAATTGATAATACTTTCCTTTATAAATTTTAAGTAGCGGAATCCCTTGATTTATTTATTTTGAGTCGACGATTCGGGAGTTAGTGTTGTAGTTATCAGTATCCTTTAGAGGAGAAAATTTGCTGTTTTTATATATTTTTTGATTTTAATTAATAATTTGCAGATAATCTTTCTAGACGAACTATGTATCAAAAGTTTAATTCTTTTAAGTTTTTTTAGTATCCAATTATTATTTTGAATACTAAAAAAAGACACCTTCACGTACCTCTTTCAACATCGGAGTACAAACTTGAGCTTAGATCTAAATCCCACGGAAACAGATTAATTCAAATAACATCGGAAGGTTATCAGTTGTTTTTCTTTCTACGTAATCCGATACCTCACCTAGAAAAATTTATAAAACCGTTTAAAATAGATCCTGTTCCAAGTCGCAGGCACCAAAACCAAGATAACTAGGTGAAGGCTTGGTGGCGCTCCAATCATTCTACAAAGAGCGTATCGAACCCGAGACTAGTCGGACAACGACCCAAAAACTCTAAAAAAAAACTAGCCGCTGCCGTTTCTATCCTTAAGCCTTAAAAAAATGAATGTTAAAATATTTATGTTATAATATCGATTTTGGCAGTCGGTCAAGGGAGTGCGACTATAACTGAGATGGAGTTGTGGTTTTAAAACAGACAACTGTTGACTGGCGTATTGCCCGCCGCCCAATCGGCATTGTTACATAACGTTTTTTCTCGACCCTCAAATTCGCTAATTACATGAAGTTCCAGTTAGGGATACATATTTGCGTTCCATATCGGGAATCAAAAACCAATTTAAACGAAGCAGTAACGTCGAAATGGCAAAAGCCGACGATAAAATCGCAGTTACGACGACGCCATTGTCGTATTTTTCCGCTCGTCCTTGGCACCAAATTAGACCGCATATTTTATGGTACAGTAATTCACACCCGAACCGGTTTGGAATCGTGACGCGTCGCCTGACCTCTTAATATTCTACGGTTTCATTTTTAATTATGCAAATTGGTTTCTATAAATAAACGGCGACGGGCAGCCGTTATTGTGGTTCCCAGAAATAATTGAGGGACGAGCCGAGCCGTGTGCTCGGTGGGTGGGTCTCGAACGAACGATTTTTCCACTCGTTGATTCCGCGTGGGCAGGTGGTTAGCGTGAGGATAATCACGCTACCAAAGCCGGTGGATATAATGAAACGTGTATTGTTTTTTTTGCATCGATGTCGTCGATCGTTGTAGCAATTTTTTTGTATTAATAATCATAAACTTGACATTTTCAAAACAATAAATAAATCAGTACGATTTGCAGAAAAGCAGAATTTTCCACTACGTAGAAGAGCAGAGCAATAAGCATTCGCCGTACTACTTTCCTCGTTTCACTCGTTTTCTTCGTTTAACTAAAATTCACATTCCAGAGGCATAGTTGTTTTGGTTGCAACGATTCTCATCAATTTCAGACATTTTCTGTAAATATTAAAACGCGTTATTATTGAAACCTACCTGCGAACACAGCCATCAGCTTAGCTGATTATAAAAATGTTCATTTGTTAGTTCTTTTCCTTTCCGAACAACTATTGGCAAACTGAAAGTTTATTAATCCATAGTTTGATTAATATTTTTCAGTGCTGCATAGTATACGTGTTGGTTCATCCGAATTCTTAAACTATTAACTATTAAACTATGGTCATTCTGTGTTGGAGCAATGCACATGGCAGTTTAGCCTCCGCTCGCTCCCTGTAGAATCTGTTGTATTCGTCCCAAGAACCTTTGATGCAGTTTTAAGAATGTTTTAAAGGTTTTAAGTGTGCCGGCTCCGCCGTTTCTGCTACTCACTCCGGTTAAAGGCCGAATGGACCCGTGGTGGAAGCGGGGGGAAGCCGTTTTTTTTTCGCTTCGACCAGCCTAATGAGCCACACTCTAAATATTTTCTCAAAGTCGTCCATCGCAGGAATTATAAGAGACCGAAAGAAGATATACCAAATACTCAGTTTAGCTTTAGCAAAGACTGTGTGACTGCTTTATTGATTACAACAAGGCATTTGATAAAGTGACAAGCAACCAAGTACTAGAACTAAAAACCTCGACACACGAATAACCAATCAAATAAATTTTCTGCATAAACAGAACTCTTTCCTTTCATTTTATGTAAAATTGTAACCATAATAACAACCTTTGTGCCACCTGATACATTAAAGGATTTTTTGCTAAATCCGGCAACGCTGTTGTTGTAGGTAGGCAAGGCAGGGGCTGCGGAGCGACGGTAAGAAATGAGGGTGGGGAGGGAGAAACTTGAAAAATTTATGAATTAGCACGAACCGAATGGCAGAATAGTTTGTTGGGGTCATCCACCTGTTCCTACAGAGTTTAACACGAAAAGAAGCGGATTCTTCTTTTGGTGTATATATTTTAAATAATTTAATTCTCACTGAAAACTCTAGGTATACAGTGGATGTGTAATGATAATGGTTTATACAACAAACAGCAAACGCACATTTCTTTGAGGAATCGTAATATGCAAAGTTATATATGGCCAATATGGCAGATCACAGCTCGAAAGTATCTTAAATTTTTCAATTTGATGGAGGAACATCATCCACAATATCATAAGCTGAACTGTAAAACCAAGAACAAAATCAGAATACTCTACGAAATTGTATACGATGAGTCCAAAATACATGTTAGGTATAACGGACATATAAAAAAAACATTTACTCAAATAAAGTTGGAATAAATTAGATTCTTTTTCGCAGAATACTTTTTGTTGTACTTGTCCGGGTGTTAAACTTTATCCTTTCATGGAAGAAAATTCGGAACCTTGAATAAAACAAATTTTGAAACAAAATATAGTTACATATATTTAAAAAATAACAGCGATTTTTTATCCAACACAAAATTAATTCTCAAAACCACAACTACGTACTAAAAATATTGATAAGATATTTTAAATAGCGTTTTGGGACCTATAAAGTTACGCTTCAGAAGTTTGTTGAGATAAAATATTTTGGCTCAGATAATTTATTAGACTTTCTGACAGATATACTAGAATATCTGGTCCATCTATATCCTGTCCGAAAAATAAAAAATGTTCTGCTCAGTTTGGCTATTTGCGTTTTGTTTGTTTTATTACATGTCACTAAGGCCGCGTAAGGTAGGTTATATGAACTTTTACTTTCAATGTTCTATGTACAAACAGTACTAATAATTTCGTAAGCCAAATATCAAGTCGCTGGTCAACGTGGATCTTGAAAACTTAAAACATCAAAATAACATATTGACAACATAACACAGCCTCAAAGTAAATTCGTGCCGCTACACTCCAATTGCAAATAAAAATACAAAAGGCCTTTTGGTAAA